TTTGGAGAGTGGTAATGGTCCTCGGTGTATCTCTGGATCCGGTGGATTGTGCAAGCCGGTTGAGACAGAGGCTGTGGCGGTTACAGTCACGACTGGGTTGGAGCTCGGTGGAGCTTCAACTGTCCTTTCATGTTATTAATGAAGGGGGTGGTTGCAACTAGGGGATATAACTGGAGTCTTAGCTTGTTCTTGGGAACTGGAGGCTTGGAGGACTTGGCAGTGAAGATTACTGAGTTACTCATGATGGGTTTACTTGGATGGCATTTGTGTCTATGCGAAATCCTTCAAGTGGGAGATTGTTGGGTTATTCGGTGAAGGCTTTAGAGCTGTGGGCTTTAAGCCTGGTCGGCTAAAGGGAAGAAACATGGGGGGCCGGTTTTAGTTATTAATTAAAGGGCCCATTAGTTGTTTCTTGTTTAGCAAGTTGTTAACCCTAGTTTATATCTTATAAATACCCAATCATGTAACTATAATCTGTGAGCACCTAATAAAAGATAAACCCTAGTTGCAACCCGTGGAGTAGGTTACTGACCGAACCACGTTAAATCTCGTGTTCTTATTTCTGCTATTTGTGTGTGTGTGTGTGTTTGTTCGCTTCCGCTTGACCACCTCTGATCTCTGATTCCTAACAAAATATATGGGTTTCTTGGAACCTCGGACTGCCCCCTTGTTGCCTAATTCTTCTTTAAAGGGTTGCCATTAACAGGTGTTATGCCTTTTTTTAATGGTGTGTATGTGCTTCTAGTAGTGTAAGAGTTTAAACAATTCTTTCTTTGTTATCAGGAGACAAGTTCTCCCCCCTGTTCGGCACCTCTTGCACACTGTTCAGGTACTGCACACTTTTTTGCATCTTGGCATAAGTGTAATTTCCAGTTTCTTGTGACTACAAGTTAAGAATCCAAGTGAATGGTGTACTGTTCTCATTTAGATTGAGGGGACCTTTCCTGATGGAACCAAATTAATTACCATCCATGACCCTATTGCGCGCGAGGATGGGGATTTGGAGCTAGCACTACATGGCTCTTTTCTTCCTGGTAAATATATCCCAAAGCATTAGAAAACACTTTCAATCCTAATAATAAATGATATCATAAGAGATATGCTAATTAAGAGGGTATGCTAATAAGCTTCAAAACATATATGAGACTGATTTTTTTAAAGTTACAAATTTGAGAATGTTATGCCTGCAGTTCCTCTTTTAGACAAGTTTCCGGTGGTAGAAGATGGCAGAGTTCCAGGCGAACTCTATTTTGGGGGTGGACTTATAACATTGAATCGAGGAAGGAAAGCAATCATTCTCAAAGTAACTAACATGGGAGATAGACCAATTCAGGTGCTTGGAATGTCTATGCGGTTTTGCTTCTTACATCCTGCATTTTTTAACCTCACAAGCATGTCTCACTACTAAATGTTTAAAGCTGTGGCAGAACCCCCCCCCCCCCCCACTGTTTTCCCCTTCTGTGTGCCTTGCTGGTCAAGGGTAGAAATGCATGTTACATAACTAACACTGTATTTGATTAGAGTGATTTGTAGAGTTTTGACTGCTAAGGTTTCTTGTCTAAATGCAAACTATGAAATGTTAAAGACAACTACTCTGGCCTTACATGAATTAAAATATCGATAATAATAATAATAATCTCTCCAAAATCTTTATTCTGATCATTTATTTTCTTGGGTTGTAAAATGGAAATTTGCTTTTACGTTCACTCGATTGGTTCAAATGGAAATGTGCAGTGGACTCTAATTAATGCACAACAGTTGACAAATCTCTCTTTTCCAAAAATATGGTCACTAACTTTCAGGTAGGCAGCCACTATCACTTCATTGAGGTGAACCCATACATGATGTTTGATCGACAGAAAGCATATGGAATGAGATTAAATATACCTGCAGGGACAGCAATGAGATTTGAGGTAACAACTTTTTCCTTTTGTTATCTTTTCAAATTCCAAGCATGAGAAGTTACCAGCATTGCTTATTGATGTTTCTCATTTTTTCTCACACAACTTCTCTTGCTCATGTAGAAGCATTTAAGTCCACAATCCCACTAACTAAATTCTTAAATGATGGTGATACACATTATTATTATTATTATTGTTATTATTATATACTCCCTCCGCCACATAAAAGGTTTACACATTTGACGTGGCATACATTCAAGATGTATGAATACACAGATACACACACATGCACACCTTCCTTCTCCTGTTTATTACACAACTGAAAAAGCGCTAATTTGCAAGCCAGGGGACTCAAAGAGCGTAACTCTAGTTAGTATTGGAGGGAAGCAAATAATCAGGGGTGGCAATGGGATTGCTGATGGTCCAGTTGATTATGCCAGAATTACATATGTGATGGAAGCTGTCCATGAAAGAGGTTTTCGCCATCTGGAGGAAATAAATGCAAGGTCTAACTAATTGGATAGTTTTGTCTTGCCATATGAGCAAGGCTATTTTACATCCCTTGAGCTTTGGTGTCTGTATCTACAACTACAGACTATGGACAAAAGTATATACCTCAGCTTGATTTTTTTTGCTTGCAGTGAAGGTATCAGCGGAGAAGGATCTGCTTTCTCCTTTACAATGTCTCATGAGGTATATGCTAATATCTATGGACCCACGACTGGAGACAGAGTTCGACTCGGAGATACAGACTTAATTGCTGAAATTGAAAGCGATTTTTCTATTTACGGTGATGAATGTGTATTCGGAGGCGGAAAAGTTCTGAGAGATGGAATGGGACAAGCGTGCGGATATCCGGCTGCTGACTGCTTGGATACTATTATAACAAATGCTATAGTAATTGATTATTCAGGAATCTTTAAGGCCGATATTGGAGTCAAAGATGGTGTAATTGTTTCCTTGGGTAAAGCTGGAAATCCAGATATAATGGATGTATCGAATGGCATGATAATTGGGGTGAGTATGACAAACTTTTTTTTTAAAATCCTTAACGTTCAAAAGTTTTTAGATACTTCCATTATCAGGTGAATACAGAGGTTATTGCGGGTGAAGGGATGATTGTTACCGCAGGAGCAATAGATTGTCACGTTCACTTCATCTGCCCCCAATTGGCATACGAAGCTATATCAAGTGGTTAGAATTTGTGCTATACTTCTGATATATTTTCATATCTTCTTTGCAGCTATTACAGTAATTATTAGTGTGTGGAGCGGTCGTTGAATTATGTACTACGTAATTGTGTTTCTTATCAGTTTCACACAATTTGCTATGTAGTGATCAATTTGTTACACTTATCTTGTTTGTGACATTCAACTTCCATGGTGTTTTTCCTAAGTCACCATTTCCTGTGATAAGCTTTACATCAAGTGCTTCACATCATCATTATCAATTAGCCAGTGCTATTATGTCAACATTTTTTCAAAAGCACATGGGCTATAGTTATTTTTTACTATTTACTGTTTGCTGGATTGGTAACCACTTCAGCTCATTGTCAAGTGTTGCCAATGAGGAAATACCTCTTGTAGAATTCCCAACCTATGAATTAAGACTTCGACTCATGGTTGTATGACTTGTATCATCTGTCCTATCCAATAAATTGCTGTTATTCTGTTCTATGCCATTTTTTGCTACACTAATTTCTCTTGCATTATTTGTGTTGATATCTAATTATCTCTCTTTTACTGAATACGGAATTGGCAGGGATCACTACACTTGTAGGCGGTGGGACAGGACCTGCAGATGGAACTCGTGCCACTACATGTACTCCGGCACCAGTTCATATGAAACTAATGTTACAGTCTACAGATAACCTACCTTTAAACTTTGGTTTCACTGGCAAGGTAGTTGCTTTTTTTATTTTTTTAAATTCTTCATTACAATTCAGCTATCCGATGTCATTTTATTCACATACAAGTGCACGGAGACTTAATTTAGATTAATTGTTGAATAGTGACTCGTTTATCACATTTTTACTTTTACATGTTCTTACACTCACAGGATGCATTTTTCTTGTACTGTCTATTTTGTTTCACATAAATATTTTCATAAAGTGGAACACTGGTACTTATCTACAGGGTAATAGTGCAAAGCAAGATGGACTCCATGAAATAGTTGAGGCTGGTGCGATGGGGCTAAAGCTTCATGAGGACTGGGGAACCACTCCTGCTGCAATAGAAACTTGTTTGGATGTTGCCGAGCAATATGACATTCAGGTAGTTTTTTTATAATAATAAAAATCGTTGGCAAAACATTTTGATTTTTGAGTTCAAGAAAGTGATTCAATTACATTTATGTAGGTGAATATACACACAGATACGTTGAATGAATCCGGGTTTGTGGAGCACACTATTTCTGCCTTCAAAGATAGAACAATTCATGCGTACCACAGGTTTGACTGACATAAACCGACCATTCCCCCCCCCCCCACCCACCCACACAAAATATCCTACATTACTAGAAGATAGAACAATTTGCATAGTTTTATCGGCCGTCCCTAAATTCTCCTTTATTTCAGATGAAAGAATTGTGTGGTCCATGTTTTACTTTCATTTCTAAATAAATATCAACCACACAATTTTGTTTTCTTAATAAAAGCTAAAAGTCAAATTTTGAAATAAATAACAATTGGAGGGAGTATATTTTATAATTTGCTATACTTTCCTATGCATTTGATATCTATACAATAAAGGCTCTGTATTTTATTAAATTTTGTGCCGTTAAGAGTGTCATCACAGCATCTACTAATGCTACATGTTCATTCACTATTGTCATATTAATCGGTGTTTTTGTGTGTGAGTATATGTTTCATTGCCTACAGCCTACAACAAATTTCTCATCTTCACATGAAAATACAGTAGTAGANCCCCCCCCCCCCCCCCCACACACACACACACAAACCTACCTCGCGTATTGAAACTCAAAAGTACAGGAAATCAAATGTAGTGTGTTTTTGCAAGCGTATTCTGTGTCACTACAAGTTAATACTGATAATGTGATAAACTCATGCATATAGATATATGCTATTTATGCAGCGAAGGGGCTGGTGGTGGCCATGCTCCGGATATTATCAAAGTTTGTGGTGTGAAAAATGTAATCCCATCATCAACTAATCCAACACGTCCTTTCACTGTGAATACTGTGGATGAGCATCTTGACATGCTGGTAAGAAATGATTAATGATGGGGTCTTAATTATCATGAGATATTCCAGCATTTAAACAAACCCTTAATGCATGCAGATGGTCTGTCATCACCTCGATAAGGACATCAAGGAGGATGTAGCTTTTGCTGAATCACGGATTCGGGCCGAAACAATAGCTGCAGAGGACATTTTGCATGACATGGGAGCAATCAGCATTATTTCTTCTGATTCTCAGGCCATGGGACGAATTGGAGAGGTTTTCATTTGCTTAACTAGCCATCTTTCTGAATCCAGAGATGTTTCTGAGCCATTGGCTGTTTTATTATTCCTTTTTGGGCATGAAACAACCTTCAAAAGAAACGTCTTAGATCATGAGGAACTATAGCATTTTCAAAAGAAAGGTTTTGAAATCATTATTTTTCCAACCCGACTTTTTATTCATCACCATCGTCACCTTTATCACAATTTAGTTGGGGCTGGTGATATGGAATTTGTTGCATGACTTTTTTGTTTGTTAAAATTAGAAATTCATGCAAAGAAGAAAAGAAGTCTTGCATGGATGTCCTTGTCTGTTACAATGTAACTTTTTGTTGACTGATTTAAATTCATAGTAAAATATTTTTGGAATGGGGGGGACTTATTTAAATGGAGACGTTACTCACCAGGTAATTAGCAGAACATGGCAGACTGCCCATAAGATGAAATTACTTAGAGGCCCACTCGACAAAACCCAATCAGACAATGACAATCTGAGGATCCGAAGATACATTGCAAAATACACTATAAATCCTGCAATTGCTAATGGCTTCTCCAAGCATGTTGGCTCAGTGGAGGTATGATCTTTGATAGCTTGGTCGTTGTCAAGTGGAGGTTATTGTTCTATTAGCCTAACATATACCTTTTGTTGCCAGCATTTTACATTTTACTACGGAGTATTTAATTATAGATTTCTATATCCAAAAAATCATACTCCCTCCGTCCCAGAGTATTTGTCCACTTTCATTTTTACACACCATCCAATGCACTTCTTTAATCCATTTTATCTTGTAATTTGTATATTAAAAAATTATAGAAATTATATATAAATAATCTATATGTTAAGACAAATCAAACAAGATCACACATGACTATATTTAGGCTTACACATTGAGAGAATTTGATGAGTCAAAGTGCTTAGATGAACAGTTCCAAAAGTCAAATGTGGACAAAAACTGGGGGACGGAGGGAGTAATAATTGTTTTAATTTTTTCCATTTACAAACAATATTGGCAGGTGGGGAAGTTGGCTGATCTTGTCATTTGGAAACCATCTTTCTTTGGGTCAAAACCAGAAATAGTGATCAAAGGTGGCACAATAGCATGGGCAAACATGGGGGACCCAAATGCTAGCATCCCAACTCCAGAACCAGTAATTATTTCTCTTTAATTTGATTTTAGGACAAATAATCTGCATTTTGCACTATGTTTTAAATTTTAATCATGAATTATATTTTCATAAAGGCTCAATGCTCTAATATTCAGTGCTGGTTATAAATCTTCATTTTTTCATCCCAACTTGTCAACACAACCAAGTACAATAGCAAAACCTAGTGTAGTCATTGGAGGGGTCTTTAGGGTCTAGATGTACACAGCCATACTTCTTTTAAAAACAAAGAGATTTGTGATAGACCCTTGATGCATTGCTGCATTTACAAACCAAAATTTCATAAAAAATAAGAAGTAAAAGAAGTTTAGTGGGTCATTTTGAGTCTCCATGACTTACCCCAACTTGAAACATTATCAAGAATGACTCGTGTAGGCTTGTAGCTCCATTGGCAATGACAGCAATCTCTCATTTAAACAACAAAGCCCCCACCTTTTTCCCCTACATATCTCAACTTGAAATTTTGATTTGCTTAGGGTTGGTTTGGATGTAGTCATGTTGGGTTTAAGAAGGGTTTGGAGGACTTGGTACCTTGTTCTCTTTGCCTCTTGCATTGAATCTTTCTTATCTAGCATATATGTTTCTGGTAGGGTTAAAATGTTTCTGAGCTTGTCTAATTTTCTTGTATGGAATAGACTTACCTAATTCTATCTGTATATTTACTGTCTAATCTGATCAAAATAAAAATAATCAATAAACAAAAAGAAAGGCAAACAGAATAGTCTACATCTTGACACAGCCATGCAGGTATATTTAAATTGTTTCTAAAATCAAAGAAAATGGGATTGAAGTGTTATACGTTCACATATTAAATTAAGTTGCAATTTTTATAAAATGTCAAATAATTCTCCATCAAACCAGACCAGACCCTTTGACAGTTTACAACATCCCACGTGCTTGCATTCATCTTAAACAGTCTTGATCGTTATAGAACTCAAGGTTTCTGTCACTTAATCCTCAAATTACTACTACAGGTGATAATGAGACCCATGTTTGGAGCATTTGGAGAGGCTGGGAGTTTCAATTCAATTGCGTTTGTCAGCAAAGTATGTTCTCTTTTCTTGAATAATACTAGCTAACGTACAGACTAATCACAAAATAAACTTCAGTGTGTGACTTTGACTTCACAAAGCATTAAAAAAGTGTTGGTACGTAATATATGTTGCACGGTTTCTTCAAACAAGTGTCGCTTCCTGTCCCCAAAACATCCCCGTTTGGATGCTCGGGGACGTCTCCACACCCAACTCATTCAAACAATTTGTAAAAGTTGGTGCTTCCCATGTTTCTGACCCCGTCCCCGTATAAGTACCTGTCCCCATCTCGGTGAAACTTAAGTAGTAGTTTATATTATAACCTCACTAATATCATATGTAATGCATTCAACCATTCGTCCTCACAACACAGGCAGCAATGGAAAAAGGGATAAAAGAGCGGTATGGGCTGAAGAAGAGATTGGAAGCGGTGAAGGATGTGAGGAGAGTCACAAAACTGGACATGAAACTCAACGACGCACTTCCAAACATATCTGTGGATCCAGAGACGTACAGGGTGACTGCAGAGGACGATGAAGATACACTGCTGCTTGCATGCCCACCTGCTACAACCCTCCCTCTTTCTCGGAATTACTTCCTCTTCTAAGGCAGGTACTCTCTATTGTATCCCATACAGATGCTTATTTATACTGACTCTGCACCTTGTTCCAAAGTTCAAACATGTGATGCACTTTGTTCCTTGCTGTTCCTAGTTTCCATTATCCTCTGGAGTTCAAAAACATCCTTGGAGACGGTAAAAAACAACTATGGAAAAAAGTGGCATATGATGTTTGCTTATGTTGCTCGTTTGCGACTTGTGTCCCAAATTACACGAATTGCTGAAATTGTTCTGTGAAAAATACACAGGCAACAGGGGAAACCTTCACATGAAGATTGAGAGGTGCAAACATCCCATTTTTTTTCAAGTACAAGAAATATCGTTTACTTCAAAGGACAGCAGAGGATTAAAAAGTGACACCGCAAAGTGACACCGGATCAAAAGGTGATCAAGGTCAGCTCCACACCTCTACTGTTCAAAGCATCAATGGTGAACAAGATTCATCTAAGAACTATCTGAATGTAAACGTTAATCTTTGGTACAACAAAGAATCGCCGAAGTCGATTATCAATGTGTAACTCTATTTTAACACCAAAATTTACAACAATGAACATCGTATTTTGCGGACACGTGCAAACAAAAGTAAAATCCTCACCCACACCCACACCCCCCACCCCCCTCCAATTTTGGTCCAATACATCTCCCTCACCATAATAAAATATCAAGGGGGGCACCATGCACATACAATACCCATATTACTCCATTTGTTCCTTTAAGATTTTTCTCATTGTTAACTTTCTTCTTCTAACTAATTAAATTTATATCTCTAATGTATACAAAAAAAAATTATACCGAGTTTAATGGTCAATACACAACCTATATTGTAGAATGTGAGTACATACTAACCAATTCGATTTTTTTTAGTTAAATTAAAAAACGTGAAGCTTCATTTATTCTCAAATTAATTAGATATTAGTATAACGAAATAAAAACTTGAAAATTCTTAATAAGATAGATCTAACTAAGGCTATGTACCGTTCGACTGACCTGAGCTGATCTGATATGATTTATTGAAGATCTGATCTGGTTTGATCTGATCTAATTGCAGTTATAATTAAAGCTGTTTCTGATCTAATTTTAATAAGAATAAGTAATAAGTAGAAAAAATAAGTTGAATGGAACGCTGCCTAAATAATTTTTATACAAATATACATTATGATTTTTATTTAATTGAAATTGAAAGTTCATCTAATTTTATTCAAAAAGATTAAACTGGACAAATACACTTATTGAGAGAAAGTCATTGTAGGGACTTATTGCAAGGATGTGGATGTCACTTTGAATAATCCTAGTACGGATTGGTTTTATTTTATTTCAATAATTGACAATTGTAAAAGTCTACCTACCCTATATGGTGGAGACTTGCAGTTTACTGTTGTTTCTTGTTCTGCTAATGAGGCTGCATATGTATTAGCGTGAGCCTCATATTTTACTCAGAGCATGGATGTGTAGTGCGGGTCGAGCCGAGTTTTTGACCGGACTGAGATTTTTCTAGGCCTGAGCCCGGCCCGTATAGCAGGACTAACAGTTGAAGCCCGAGCCCCGCTCGCATGGATACTCACAGGCTTTGGGCTGGCCCGGTCCGCACGACAAAATTTTTTAAATAATTAAAAAAATAGTTTTTTAGAAAATAAATTATTATGTTAATATATTAGATGTTTGATATAATAAATATTATAATGAGTAAATGAAAAAACAACTAATATATATATATATATATATATATATATATATATATATATATATATAATATATTTTGTTTGATATTGCTACTATGTACGGAATACAAAATATTACGGAGTATTTGTCAGAATATCATTATCAATGTATGATAAACAGTAAACAATACATAGTAATAAATTTGTATTCATTTTATTAAATATACTTATTATTCACTTTTTTCTCCATAGATGTATGTGTGTTTATAATAAACTGAAACATTGTTCTTTTTATTATTATTAATATTAATGTTGTTATTATTAATCCATTATAATTATAGTAATGAAATACTCCCTTCGTCCCAGAGTATTTGTTCACTTTCGTTTTTGCACACCATCCAATACACTTCTTTAATCCATTTTATCTTGTAATTTGTATATTAATAAATTATGGAAATTATATATTAATAATCTATATGTTAAGAAAAATCAAACAAGATCACACATGACTATATTTAGGCTTACACATTGAGAGAAATTGATGAGTCAAAGTGCTTAGATGAACAGTTCTAAAAGTCAAAAGTGGACGAATATAGCGGGACGGAGGGAGTATATTTTAATTCATTGGGCCGGGCCAGGTCGAGGCTTGAGCATAAAGCCTTAGCTTGGACCTGAAATATTTGGGCCACCATTCCCGCTATTTATTGGGCGGATTTCTTCGGGCAAGCCGGATACCCGAGCCCGTGATCGGGTCTACGTACCCCCCAAACTTAATTATTAATATAATGCTTTATTGGTTTAAAAAATTACACTTAGATCGAAAGAGTAGCTTGGTATTACCCTAACATGAAACTGAGATAACTGACCCATTTGACCAAAGTGTAACCAACTTGGTTAAAGAAAATGGGAAGGAAATTAACGACGTCCTTAAATTCTCTTTAAGACCTCCCAAAAGTACTCACATAATAAACGTGGCTTGCATTAAAAATATAAATTATTCTCGTCCTAACATATTCTAGCCATATATTTACCATTTTGTAAAACTTTGCAAAAGGGAAATAGGTAAAATCCTAAGAAACAGAGAAGGTGTTTTGATGAAGTTATTTTTTTACCATTTTTATTACCATTTTTATGAAGTTATTTTTTGCAAATTTCCGATTAAGACACGAGAAGGTGAATTTTTAGTCATACGCTACGCAAATGAATTTTTCATGCAATGTCTTTTCCTTCCACATTAACACTAAAAAATTTTATCGAATAAATCTTACGTTCATTGCGGGAGAGAGAATTCATCTTTTAGTAAACATTACCGGAGATAAAGGGGGGGGGGATGTTGCCAAACATTATGAAGGCATTTAGTTCCAGCCAAATCAGTCAATAGGGCTATAAAAGGACTCAAAAATGACCTCACTAATCAGTCATTTACAAAACAAACATAACGCCCAAAAGATTGATGACATCAAAATTAATTGCATCCACGCAGGATAATCGGTGGTGGTGCATCTTAGATTTCATCTTTGGGGTTAAAGTAACATTTTCCATTTACTTACTGCGACAATGTTCTAGTGTACCATTTTAAGACTTGGCCTTCGGGGAATATGATGGGCATTAGTTTTTAACGAGCACCGAGAATCACACTGTGGGGGAAGTCCATACCTATCTTGGGAGTATGATTTTCTTCTTCTCTCAGGCAAGCTGGCATTCCCATCTGGTGATGGCACCACTAAGAGACCACAGTGCAGGTTCCAATGCCTACCAAAAGTCCTCAAAACTTGTTGCCCAACAATGTGTGGCTCTTATTAGTGCTTTATTTTCCCACATTTATAAACTTCCCAACATTTGATCAACCATTTACTTGGCTACATTTGGCTACGCGTCGGTGCGACTGTGTAACCAAAGATGCAACAAATACTCAAGGGGCGTGTACATGATTAGTGGTAAAATGGGAGCCTTCGATAGTAAAAAAACATTTACACTGTTTGGTTCAAGGAATTTGAAAGGTACTAAGAAAAGAAAATGATATAGAAAACAGTTTTCAGTTTTTCTTGTTTGGTTAGAGATGAAAAGAAAAGAAAAGTGGAAAGAAAATAAAATGAGAAGGCAAAATGTACAAAGAGAAAGGAAAACCAAATTCCTTTCATTTTGGTGAGGAAAATGGGAGAAAACCACTTTTCTTTTCCTTCCAAATTCATTGAACCAAGCATAGTGTTGTTCGAATTTATGTGTTTGTGAATCAAGAAAAGAAAAGTCCCATGCTTTGGCTTATACAAGTAAAGGGTGCAATTTGTCCTGGACATAGTGAAGTGTAAAAATGTTTGTGAGAACAAAAGCACTTTCAATGAGAAAACTTTATTTAAGTAGGAAGAAATTTGCTTTTGACTTGTGGATTTAAGTCTCTCAAAAAAGGTTGATCGAGTGATTTTTTTGCCACACACTACAATCAATGTTCAGTTTGGGCAAGTGTATGAAAGAGGGCAGAGTGCACAAATTTTAACTAAGGGGCACATGTCTCTTTCAAATGCACCACATATAAGATCATCAGACATCATGCCAAAGAGCATAATAGTAATCCTGTTAACGATGGGAAGGCTATATCCACGAGTGGCTAAGAAGTACAGAACTAATATGATGTGCTGAAAGAGATACCTTGTTGAGCTTGACGCTTGACAGACAATGAACATATCTGTCCACACTCCTTTGCTTGATACTTAACTAACATTTGCAGCCAAATATGAAAATGTTATGATTCCACTGCATGCCGAAACGGTTCTTGTACAATCAATTTGACAAAATAAGAAGGCGAGGAGCTACCATGTGGAGTAATGCAGAAGATGATGCATGCGTAAACCAGCTGATAAACACAATGATTAAGTGAAAAAAGGAATGAATGCATGAGAAAAATGAACTGATATCTAAAGCAAGCTGCTATAGGACTTCATTGCAAAGGTTCAAGGAAAAAGAAGATTATGTTAATAGTAGGCGGGGCACCCCATTTTTACCTGTTGATCCAGCAGATTCTGGAAGTTTGACTGATAAAAAGTAAAACTGAACATTTCTGAAAGAGAAACACATTCTTGTTTTAATACTGGCAGGTGACACATTCACAAGATGAAGGTAAAGCATCTTTGGGATCCTTGCCTACATCCAAATATTACCTTGGAATGTTTCATTACTTTCTGTCTATGTCTTTGTGAATGAAAAATGATAGTACACCGTGTCTGCTTTACACCACCTCTTGCAAACATAATTTGAAGATCAAAATGGATAAAAAGTAAAATTACCAAGATCCATTAAATATAGTAACGCATTAAAATTTCATAACTTCTACTATTAAGAACCAACATCGGAAATTGTTCCCAATTTGCAAATAAAAAATATGTTACATACACGAGACACAATCAAACCCGGTTGGTATTTATGGTCCAGCATACTACCCAGTAAGGCAAGTAGTCTGATGAAGTTTGTTTTAAGCCCACATGCAACATATCTGCAATACTGTGCCAAAAGAATCCTTTCTCCACCTATCTTGTAAAAAGTGCCTGCTAAAAAACAGCATGATTGATCTTCTCACAAACAAGTCCTTTCAGTAGAGATGGACTCTCTCACCTCAACCATTTCAATCCAACAAGTATTGCAAGAAGAGAATCTCAAACAGTACAGATGAGCAATGCTGGATTTTCTTAACCAAACAACCCACCATTTCCTAAATCACCTTGTTGCAACTCTTTCCTACGCAACTCCTCCAGAGGATCTGGGCTCTTATATACTCTTCTCATCCGCCTAAACATAAAGGGAAAAAATTAATATCTTTCTTGGGAATGAGAATTTCAAGTAAAGATAAAAAGGATATCTTTCTTTAGATAGTTTCACATGAACAAGTGAAATAATACCTGTCCTGAGCATGCTGTGCTGGAAATGTGGGCATAAATTCTTTAGACTTGGGAAGGGGAACTTCACGAAACCACTCATGGTTGAGAGCTGCTTCAGCAGTTATACGCTGAATTCATCAAAACGCGTAATATAAGAACAAACACAAACAAAACTAGTAGAGTATGTTTCATTAGCGACTCAATGAAATATGCCATAGAATTTGGTCTACTTAGAGCTAACCTTCTCAGGGTCATAAGTCAAGAGCTTGTTTAACAAGTCAAAGCCAGCATCAGAAAGCACCGGTGATCCTGTGAAAGAGGTTGCTGGAAACTTCTTACGCAACAGGTTATACCTGGAACAAATAAATCACTAGTTTAAAAGAAACATGATAGTTATTTAAATGAGACTGTCGCTAGGAGAGGCAAGAAAGCCAGACCAGTATCACCCAAAGCTGGAAGCCTGGGAAAAGAGTGGCAAAAACAGAGAACATGAATCTCAAGTTATTTAGTGTATACAAAATGATTTACAAGGAAATGAAACTTACTGGTGCTTCACAAAGCTGATCTTGAGACCTGGAAGTTTAGAAAATCCAGGCCATATTGTTTCGTTGGGTGTGCCAAGGATTTTATAAATCTGAATACAGACAAGTGTGTTAGGTCTGGCTGCTAGTAGAAAAAAAGTAACATTCCAGGGAAAAACATTAATTACCTTATCAAGCTGTTCGATCTCTGATTTCCCGTTGAATAAAGGTTCTTTGGACAACAATTCAGCCATAATACAACCCAACGACCACATATCGATTGCTGTTGAATATTGCTTGGCTCCCAATAACAGCTCTGGTGCCCTGCAAGTACAGGAACCTTGAAACTTTCAATGTCACTGAGTTAAGAAACATCTATCACACAATCTAGATAACCATCATCTTGATCAAAGTAAAACACAGAATCATTTATGCTAGTCTTGCACAGGAACAAACTAAATAGAATCATATAAATCTGGGAACTTAGGAAAAGCAGTAACATGCAAGATCTTAAGAGATATGATAACAATGTCTAACAGAAATTCAATAACAAGCACATTAACACTCACCTGTACCACAAAGTAACCACCAACTGAGTATATGGTTTCAGAGGGCTGCCGTATTGCCGGGCCAACCCAAAATCACAAATTTTTAATTCACCGCGGTTATTTAGAAGCAAATTTGAAGTCTTTAAATCTCGATGAAGAACCCAATTATCATGAAGATACTTAATCCCCTCCAAAAGCTGGATCATAAGGCATTTTACTTCACTCTGGCTAAATGGCTGCTTCATTGTTTCCATTAATGCCTTGAGGTCATGTTCCATATATTCCATCACCATGTAAATGTTATCAATTTTGTCCCCAACAACTACTTCCTTAACGTCAACAATAGAGGCATGATGAAATGAAAGGAGAATATTTATCTCCCTTAGAGAAGTCAAAGGAAATCCTTCTCTCTCTTTCTCCATCTTAACCTTTTTCAAAGCAACAATTTCTCCAGACTTCTTATCCCTAGCCCTGTAGACTACGCCATAGGTGCCTTCATCTATCTTGTTGAGCCTTTCAAATTCATCAACACTCCTACACCCTTGAAGCATGTTCACAGTTCTTTGCAACGGGGGTGCAGGGTCTGGGGTACCAGGTGAGGCCATGTGGTCTTCAGATTCTGTATCTGACTGGCTAGAGCTAGTGTCTTTATCATCCCGGTCCTTGCTAGCACCCCTGTGATCACAGTTGTTTTCATCATTATCAGCATAGCTATCCCTACTGGAAGACCTTACACGCTCCTCAGACCCAGATGACCTAGTCCTGGTTCCTTCAGAATCTCTCCTAAACTCTGGCAGATCTGGAGTTGGGGTTTTAGAGCTTCCCTTACGTTCTATAAACTCAGAAGCTGACTTCCTCCTCTTTGGTAAGGGAATTTGATCATCATCTGATATTTCACCTTCATCAGCGGGGGAATTAGCATCAGTAGCCCACCGTGAATACCTTATGGTTCGAGTGGGTACATACTCATCATCCTGAAATTCCTGCACCCTTTGTTCACTGTCCAATCCTCCATGAGTGGAGATCAAAGCTACATTAACAAGTGATTGAGTTCCAGGAGAACTATTTGGATGAACAGGATGAACAGGTGACTGCTGAACCCTACTCTCTGTCATAGGAGAATACTGTGGATTGCAATTCTGATGAGGTTTAGGTGTGTGATCAAACTTTATCTCGGGAGGATTACGGGGACGGTTAGATGAATGATGTACACTAGTTGTCTTCACTGTTCTAGCCACTTCCTTATCATCTCTATCCCAAATGATCGGAGAGAATTTCTTTTTCTTACTCAGAAGAGGTGACTTGTTTCCATTGACCAGTTTTTTAGCCTCCCCACCTTTCAACTCTGAATCTATGTCCATTGTTCCATCAGAACTGCTTTCACTAAACAGCTCACCAGGTTCTCGGTCAAAATCCTTGGCTGCAAATCCAGGCCTCTCGGGTCCACCAGCACTACCACCACCTTCACTACTACCTGAGTCACTCCTACTAGACACAGAATGACGTTCCCCATTCGTCAATTCGTTTTCTTTTATATCCTTCTTTCTGACTCTTTTCCCATTTCGGATATTCCTGTCAGGAACAGGAAGGCTATCATACTCCAGATCGGCATCTCTAGCTTTATCATAATCCATCTTGGAATACCCAAAATCCCTCAGTGGCACATCCAAATCTGACTCCCGGTTCCTGAACTCTTTGTCTATGTAACCTCCGTGCCTTCCAGCAGCCATATGGAAGCCTAGGTAGAAAAAACCCCTAAAACCTACCCCAAAAACCAAAAACCCTAGAGCTCAAAGGCACGAAAATTGCAACAACCCCTCTTCCTCGACCAAACCCTAAACGGACCCAGCAAATTGAACAAAAAGGGGTCTTGATATCGAAATTAGAACCAAACAATCACAGAAGACCAGCCAAACTATGTGCTTCTATATTCCCCCCACGGATCTCAATATAACTGAACCGATCAAAACAAAACAAAAAAAAGACGACGGAGGCAGACAGAAACCCTAGGAAGCTAAGGCTGTAAACAATTCTCCACCGAACGAGGTTGAGATCGGAAGCGGCTTACCGAGTGATTGAATCGGCGGCGGGGAGAGAGAGAATGGAGGAAGATGAAAGACGGCGGCGACGCTGGTTGTGGAGAAGATGCACAGAGAGGGGATAAGGCAGGAAGCGATATGGAAGGAAAGCTTCGTCGAAAGAGGCGTTGTATGATTGGCTTGCGATTCTTAAATTGGGAAACGACGCTTTGTATATTTTTGGGGGTTTGGACTTTGGAGGCTTAATTTTGAATTGACATACTCTGTAATATTGTTGAGTCTACTTTTAGTACAACGAATTCAAATTATAAAATTGAAATTAGAAATAATAATATTAATTTTGTTGTTTGATAGTATAAAAATATGTAGATTTGAAATTGGTAATCTCAAAAATTAATTGGAATTAGAGAATTCAATTCTATCCAAATGAATTCCATAAAATTTCAACTCTCAATTTAATTTCAATTCCGTTAATTCCGTGTACCAAACGGATCCTGAGTATTTTTAAAAGAAAATGTTTTTTATTGCTCAAACCTCAAAGTAGTAAGACATGTTTGACATTTGTATGACATAGTATCATCTCATTTTAGAATAGAATGTTACCAAATGGTTTTATTCATAAAATTGGACTATTTGACGAATAATGATATGATACATGTCCTACAAAAATATTAGATCATCACAGATCGTTGTCATCCTAATAAATACTTTGCAAATTTTTTTGACTTATTGAAGCATAAAAAATTGTTGTGTCATTCTAATTCAAACATATGACCTTCTATTTAGGAGAGACATATGATGTCGCTGGACGATAAAGCTTTGTCATTATTAACTTAATACTTATAGTAGATAAGAAGGAAAATTTATTTTTGGACATATAAAAAAAGAAAATAAATATTTATTTTGGTGCATAAAAATTTCAACAAATAAATTCTAATCACATAAATTTTTACACCATAATTTTTAATATTTTTAACAATGTCAAAGAAAACAACGTCTAGAAAATTTTTAGGTCATAAAGGCTCTGCTGTAAAACAAAGCCTGGTGCTAGAAGAAATTGGAAGAATTGAAAAGAGTTGAAAAAATTAGAAAAAATTTAAAAAATAGAAAAGGGCAAAGGTAAAAAATGTCAAAAAAAACTTGAAAGACTTAGAGAAAACTAGAAGTAACATACTAAGATTAGTTAGAAACACTTAAAAGAGCTGGAAGAAATTGCAAGCACAACAACAACAACAACAATAACAATCCAGTAAAAAGAAACTAGAAATAGTTGAAAAAACAAAAAAATGTTAAAATAATTATTCATTACTCCCTTCGCCCCCATAAATTTTTCTAGACATTATTCAGAGTCAAAATGTAACTCAATATGTTTGCTTACTTTTTACTATATATTTTATAATATAGTGTTGTCACATTTAGTTTTGTAAAATTTTCATATAGTTTTCTATATACGCATTTCATTTTTAAATTTTTTACTACATTTGAATACATTGAATTATTGAATTAAAAATAAAGTTTGTCAAACCTCGTAACGTGTAAGAAATTCAACCGTGCTAGGTCATACATGAATGTGGTGTCTTTCTCCCATACACATTTGTCTGTTTCATTAATTTTGTGCTAAGTTGGAGTATATAATCACTTAACAAATTTAAAGATTTCACTTTCTTGTCCTGAAACTTTGAACCCTTCAAGTTGCTGGTGTAGATCTCTTGTCTAAATCTCCATTCATGAAAACTATTTTTACATCTATTAGATGAATTCTAATTTTTGCAAAGAAGTGATTGCAAATTTCACCGTAATAGAATTTATCTTGATCACAAGAGCATATGTATCAAAGTATTTACACTCACTGTCACCCTTAATTACAAGTCTGGCTTATAATTATCAATTAATATACTCCGGGGTATCATATTTCATCTTTCTTCAAAAGATCTATTTCGAACATGTAGATCTAGTAATTTTCAAGTGTGATTCTAAAAAATAAAATCAATTTCACTTTTTTTAATGACCTTTTTCATGGAAAACCTTCAAACAAAGTAATTACTTCTCGATAAGTTCGTGATTCATCTTCCGATAAACAAGTTAGAATATCGAGTTCATTTATCAGATATGATAGCGTTCTCGATTCAAATTTCATCAAGTAAATGAGAAGTAAAAACTGTCAAATTTTACGAATGTAACACCATAAGTGCTTCAATTCAACTGCACCAAGGTTCCCATGACATTGGGTTCCAATGTCATAGGATGACCCGAGGGTGCTCCGGTGCCCCGTTCGTAAAATTGACGGTTACTACCCCCCTAACCTCCCCGGTAAACCCCTCCACCCCGCCCCGACCCGAACACACACCCCTACCCCCGTCAATTGCACCCCACAAGTTGATTTTAACTTGGGAGTCAAAATTTGACTCCAAAGTCAAAATCAATTTGTGGGGTGCAATTGATGGGGGTAGGGGGTGTGTTCAGATCGGGGTGGGGTGGGGGTTACCGGGGAGTTGGGGGTAGAAACCGTCAATTTTACGAACGAGACACCGGAGCACCCCCGGGTCATCCCATGACATTGGAACTCAATGTCATGGGACCATGACATTGGAACTCAATGTCATGGGAACCCCACCCATTCAACTGATGTAGCCATTGGTGTTGTAAATGAGAGGCGTCAAATTCCCCACATTGTAGTATTTACTTCTCATTAGGGGTGTGCATGGTACGGTATGGTACGGTATTTAGCTCGTACTGATACCGTACCAAATATTTCGGTTCGGTATGAGATTTTACTCCGTACCGATCCCGATCTCAAAATATCGGTTCGGTATGGTTCGGGATGGTTCGATATCGGTTTCGGTACAAATCGGGATGAATATACATACATACTTTACACGTTAAAATTTAGCAATACTCTTTTTTTTTTAAAATTAAAAGTGAATTTAAATAAAAAAACATGAGAAATAAAAAAAATTTAAATGCAAGAGATGCGTATCAAAACTTAGTTTATATTTCACAAACTAAAAAAAGAATGATAGCAAAGGAGTATTTCGAATCTTTGTGAATACTTTTATTTCATAAACAAAAATTGAAACTCAAACAAAAGTACTCCCTCCGTCCTACTGTCTTTGTCCACTTACCTTTTGGCACACTATCCAATGCACTTCTTTAATCCATTTTATCTTGTAATTTGTATATTAAAAAATTATAAAAAATTATATATTAATAATCTATATGTTAAGATGAATCAAACAAGATCACACATGACTATTTTTAGGCTTACACATTGAGAGAATTTGATGAGTCAAAGTGCTTAGATGAACAGTACCAAAAGTGGACAAAGATAATGGGACAGAGGTAGTATAATTTACACGTCATAGAACTTGAACCATTTTTTTTAAAATTATTATTAAGTGAAGGAGTATAAAAATATTACTCCGGGGTATTATTTTATATAATATTTTAGAATATATGTTCGGTACGGGATTTTCGGTATGGAACGTCACCTCGTACCGTTTCCGAATACCGTACCGACCATTCGGTTCGGTATGGTTCGGTTTCTTCTCGGTATTTTCTCGATTCGGTATTTTTCGGTTCGGTATTTTCGTTTTTTTCGGGAAATTTCGGTATCGGTTTGGTACTTGCTCACCCCTACTTCTCATAAACTTTGCCCATATAGAGTTGCTTGTATGGGCCTCCCACCATAGTTTGAAGAGAGCTAACCTCCTGAATCTGTTGAATACTTCTAAGCCCAGGCCGGCCTCCAGCTTCCACTGGTATACAATGGTATTTCCACCTCCCATCTTTGGTTCCCCAAAAGAAAATTTGCCAGTTAGGGATGGATCATGTTAATTAATACTCTTCCGTCCCTAAATATTTGTCCATTTTTGACTATTTTCGGTCAAAATTGATAAATAAAAATGATATTACATATTGATACAAAAATAATTTTACTAGATTTATGATATCAAATATTTTCAAAATATTATTTTATCTATACAATATATATTATTTAAATATAAGTCAAAGATTGAAAATAATTGACTGAAAAAAGTCAAAATTGGACAAATACTCAGAGACTTGGAGGTAGTAATTGACTTTTTTCGTATTTGTAAGTTTTCGTATATTTTGAGATACCTCGGAGTATATTTTGAAAACTAAGGGTACCCGACAGTCTTTATTACAAAATAGAAGGTACCTAGCAGCAATTTTTGGGTGTCAAAGTATCTCAAAATCTCCTAACAGTTTCTTTTTGAGCTTCCCTTTACTAATACT